GGGGGGGGGGGGAGAGGGAGAGAGCACATTGTGGTCGCTGACCCGCCCGGAACGTTGACTCCATGTAGTCAGTCCCCCCTTTTCTTATTTTCTTCCATTCTCCGTTTACCGGCCGTCCTCTTGCAACGCGCACAGCGTATACCTTCGATTACGGAGTTACCGCGGTGTTACCTTACCTCACCACGGCTTGCCGCGCGTCACGTCTCGCCTGTTCGCGTCGCCGATGCGTTGCCGCCGCGATTGTGCGTATCCTGGCCGCGCGTTTCTGAAAATCCACCTCCTCCTTGTGGACCATCCCGCTCTGCCGCCGTCGCCGCCGTTGCCGTCTGCGTGTCATGTTACCAGCTTTCCTCGACTTTTCAAACTGACTACTTTCATTTTTAGCCTCTCCCGGCCGTCAGCCGCTAATTTCCGCGGACACGCGCACTATGTGCCTTTTATCGATTTTCCGAATTTTACCCCCTCCACCTTCGTTGGCGGAGAAAGTGGCGAACCTTGGCGGGAAATATGTTAAAGAACGGATCATTTCGGTTTCTGTTCGCGCTTCCCGACTTCGCCGGAGGCGTTTCCGTTTCACGTACGCACGAGGCATCCTTGACATTTCGACGTTCGAAATATTACGTCCAAATTTGAGAAACTTTGTTTTCCGGTGCCCGTGAGTAATGTTATGTTCCTCGTTATATGCGTGTTATATGAGTGTTTAAAATGCGCTTGCTCTTACGTAAAACATCACTGCTGTGTTGTAACTCAAAACCGTAAATGTAAATATCGCCGATCCAGTGAAAGAGCAAGGACTTCGAGTTTTTCGAGAGACCCGGAGAGGTCACTTTTTTCTTTCCTTTTTTTTTTTTTCGTAACAAGGAAACACACACCGACGAGAAGTATGCGCCCTCGGTAATTTCGGCGACGACTTCAGCGACTCGGCGCGTCTCTAGCGTGGAGTTACGAGTACCGTTAGAATCGTTATCGTTCCCGCATCGAGTCTGGGATTCGAGTCCTACTTACTAACGGTACCCATTTATTTCAAGCGGAGAGGGCTGCACCCGTCCTCCCCCCTCCCCCCTCCGGCTCGTTTTTAGCGCGCGAGGGATTCACCGGTTTATGACTGTTTCACGATAATCGCCTAATCGTTATTAACGATCGAGCGGGTCGGAGATGCGGCTTTTTGCCATCGAGCAGCGAGAATACCGACATTCCCTTCATCATCGTGCGACGACGAACCGGCATTCTTGAGAAAATTTCTGCAAGAAATCGGGGTCTCTGTGTTGGCCCGTGAAGAAAGGGGACACAATTGATGAAACGAAGGAAACTTTGCCTCCTGTTTTTCTCGCGAGGTGAAAGGACCTAGACGTGGATATACCTGAATATACCTGAATACACCTGGACTCTTTCTTGTCATTTTTTAGGCCTTCAGATACGAATATTCCAAACTTTCAACGTAGAATATACTTATACGTGTGTAGAATATAAACAAATATTTCACGTCAAGAGATCAAACGTTCGTATTTCAAGAGCAAAGCAACAAAAATATCCACAGGGTAGGTACACGTCCGGGTGCTTTTACCGTTACCAGAAGGCCGTTCTTAGTAAGTAATAACGGCGAATAGAGAAGCCAGAGGGCGTCGAGAGAGAATTTTAAGAAAGAAGTGGACACGTGTATCATTTTATTATTATATTTCACTTTGCTCGTCACGCGCAATTCCCACTCACCTTGTTACACGTCCACGTGGCGAAGCGCGCGCATTCGTTCGTTTGGTCAACTGAACGTCGCGTGTTTGTACAGCAACACGTATCTCCCGTAATTCGATTCCGGGAAATGCGTGTGGAACAGTTTGGCGATCAGCTTGTACGGGCGCAGAAATCTCGCTATCTTGCTCGCAGCGCAGTCGAACGCGATCACGTGAGTGGGCAACGGGACCGCGCTGTTATTAACGTAATTAACGTCGAGCCAAGCCGCCGGATCCGCGAAAAATCGATCCGCCTCGTCCACGTAGTCCCCGACGCCGTTCAGATTCGGCTCGCACGTCAAGAACCTTACGGACGCGTTCACGTGCAAGTGACTGTAGAGCGGTGTGGCGTGGCACGGGGTCAGGATCAGCGTGTCCGTCGGCCGCGAGGTAGGGCTCGCGCGGGCGATCTCGTCCCGCAAGAGTCCCATCGCGTCCAACGCGCCGCGTTGATGAATCAGGGAGAAGTAAAGGCCGGGCATGACGTTGCTGAACACCAACAACGCCAGGGCGGTCTTACGCGCGAATTCGGTGACCTTCGGTAGACGGTACGTGCACGCGGAACTCGTGTAGATGAAGAGCGGCAGGAGCGGCAGTACGAATCGGAATTCCTTGTGGGGCAACAAGGAGTAAACCGTCAAGGTCCAGCCGATGGCTACGAGCATGATCGTCTCGCGCTGGAAGTGAACGATATGTCTGAGTATTCGCCAAGCGGCGAGGAGAAACGGAACGCAATACAGGCCGAGCAGTACCGGCAAACCGGCGAAAATGTACCACAACGCGTGCTGCGTGCCGTACACGCTGCCAATGTCTCCGAGCACGTTCACTCGGAAGAACTTCCACGGGGTGACGACGAGTGTTCCGTAACAGATGCTGTCTATCAGTACGGAGATCACGAAACACGCGCAGCCTATTGCCACATATCGCCCGAGTAACGTCGCTCTCTTCTCCGTGCTTGTAGAAATATGATAAGCGCACAGAGGAAGCCACATGATCGCGCAGGTGGGCCTCGCCATACTGAGGAAGCCCACGATCCACAGGAACTTCACACTTTGCGCATGACTACCCTTCCACGGGAACATGGTCAAGGCTATGGTGGTGCAGGCGGTCTCTACGGTGTTTATCAAGGTCCTGGTGGCGCAGTAGTACCAGTACCAGTTGAGACACAAGACCAGCAGCATCCACTTGCACTTAGTCCACTGGTAGAATCTGTAATCCGCGTAAGCAACCAGGACAGCTTGCAAGACTCGAGGCGATATCATCAGGAGCCACGCGAAGTCTACGGAGAACACAGCGAGTATGCGATAGAGGATCGATATTAAGAATGGATAAGTGTAGCTGCGAATCATCGTCGTCCATTCCCAGGTGAGGTGCCCGTAGCCGAAGGCTGCACGATGAGCCACCTCCAGGGACTGCCAATATTCGTCCGGCACATGGGATGTCTGCACCAGTAACACGGCAGTCAACCGCCATAATATCAGACGAGATAACGTCCCAAGCTTTTTCGGCAGGAGCATCTCGAGCTAATCCGTGCACGTCATTTTTCCGATCGGAAATATACTTCCGGACCACGTTGACGGTGTCTACTTAAAAAGACGGCGCTATGTTACCTGGTGAATAAAGAAATGGAATGGATCTCGGACATACTCCCGATCCGTAATCCCGGCAATCTCATCCGTTAGCAAAAGAAAACACATTTGTGTTATTACCGAGTATATTTCTCGATTAATCTTGCGGTGATCCTCGATCGTTCACCGACAAACTCCGTGGAAAACACTGGCCAAATTAGGTTAGGTACCAGCCGGTAGTCATAGGTCGCGTAGAACGAAGAACAATAGAAAGAACGTAGATCTTGCAACACGAAAGATGTCACTGGCTGAATGAACCCCGTTAAGCCTGTTACACGAATCAGAGCAAAGTTCACTAAATTCAAATTTAGTTAAGTTTGTTCTGATTGGTCAAATTTCAATCCGATCTTAATTCTGATCCGATCTTAATTCTGATCCGTAGTGTGACACGGAAATAAGGTCCGTCCAGCAGACTCGCATTATTACATATGCATGAAGAAATCAACGAATCATAATTCGTGCGAGAAAAAGGTGTCTTCTATATTAAGGCTGGCGGCACACAGGGCTTGTTTTCGTGCCGGACTGCTTGCTGGATAGAAATACTGCGTTCTGATTGGTGCATTTCTAAAAATGGATGACAATACACCAATCAAAACGCAGTGTTTCCATCCAGCGAACAATCCAGCACGAAAACGAGCATGCATCGTGTGCCGCTGGCTTTCAAATTTTCCGAAACTTTCTCGAAAAATCATCGAAGTAGGAACGATTGGAGCGCCATCTCGCATCTGCAACGTCCAAACAAAAACAAAATGGCCAATCGAGCTGTCGACTTTCGTTGACAGGACTGCTTCTTCCCTGCGTCGCGCGAAGACGCGTCGCACCGATGAGCGCGTCGCTCCCGCGGAAAGCGGCGATTCGATTGGCTGTCGTGCAACCCGCCTCTCGCGTCCAACTGAAAGCCATCGCGCTCTTCCAGAAAGAACGAGCGGACGCACACGTCACTTCCTGCCCGTGCGTCGTCGAGGTTTTGTGCGCAAAAGCCGAACGATCGAATCGATTGAACCAGGTCTATATAGATAACGATACTCCTTGGACGAACGGCGTGAAGTCGATAGCATCGTTGCGAGCGAGCGAGCGAGCGGTGGTCGATAACCGATGTTAGGCATCGGTCTCTTCGACGCGAGAAATTGAACTTCGATATCTGCGGAATAATTCATCGACGGGGGAACACGAGGAGAGATAGATATATCGGCGCGAGTGCGCGGCACGCGGTAAATTTGTTGATCCTCTGCAAGGCGGTCGGCGCGGGCTGAAATTGTGCGTGATCCTTCGCGTGATGTTTCTTGGCGCGGCGTTGCGCTTGAAATTATGCAACGAAAGTCCACCATTTTGACGAGATACGGACGATATTATGCGAGGTAGTCCAGGTATGCCGCGGTGGCGTTAAAACGGTGTTGTTGCATCGAGCGTCGTTCCTCTGAGAGAAAAGTAACAATACACACGCACACATACACGATAAACAGCGTCAATGCCGTGGCGTTGAGCCCGCCTGATATGGAGAGCAACAACAAGCAATCGTCGCCGTTGAACAGCTCGATGAAAGCGAGCATGTTGGAGGACAGCAAAGACAGCAAAGACATGCAACTGGTATTGGCGAAAATGATGGAAGAGAAACACACGTTCACGTATAAGAAACTTGTCGTGCCGATGTCGATGAGGAGTATTTATTGGAAATTCTTTGGGTTTCCAGCCACGGACGATGGTGATATCCTCACCAAGGTGAAGATTGTATGTATACTGTGCAAGACCCAGATTGCGTACAATCGCAATACGAGTAATCTGCGTATGCATCTGCAGAACAAGCATGCCCAAGAGCTGCTGGAACTCGAGCTGACCAATCCACCGCGTAAACAGGGGCAAGTTGTCCCTCAGGAGACCAAGGAGCGCAGGCTGCAGAAAAGACTGCTGAAGGGTCTCAGTCCGGCGCAACATATTTACACCACCAACGTGGACGGCACCGTTCAAATAGACGGTGACATACAATTTGTCACGGATCCTAATATCAATCTGTCCAATATTGAGGATGACATCACTATCGGCCAACCACTGAGAATGATGATCAAGGATGGACCCAGCAACAATAATCAGAACGTAGCTTTCCTCATGTCGGAGGACAATGGCACCAGCCAGTCCAGCATAGACGGAAAGACCGTGTCGGATGCTATAGCTGAGTTCATCATAATGGACCTGCAGTTGCCGGAAGTTGTGGAAGGTCGTGGTTTCCAGAGACTGGTGGCTACTTTACGTTCACCTTGTGAGATCCCCAGTAAGAACAAATTGGAGGAGGAGATCATACCAAAGATATACGACACCTTCCGGGACTCTGTGTTAGAAGTGCTGTCGGAGATTACCTCGGATGTAGGAATGACGATCGAGGAGTGGAAATCGATCTCGGACGAGAGCTTCATCACAGTGTCGATTTATTATCAGAATCCCGGCGAGGCGGCCTTGGAGTGCAAAGTCTTGAGTACCATTCACGCGCCGTTGGACTGGGACGAGTCCCAGTGGGGTAATATTTTGGATCTACTGCTGTTCGAATGGCAGATCAAGATCGAGAGGATAACAGCGGTGGTCGTCAGCACCTCGAGAGTAGAATTACACAACGCATTGAGGAGCCGTAATGTGACTGTAGTGCCATGTTTGCTCTATTCTTTACAAGTATGCGCGCAGGCTTGTTTCGAGGATGCCGAAGTAGCTGCGATATTGTCCAAATGCCGAGCGGTCATTGGAATGATTATAAGTCATCCAGCCGCGTTTGCGACGTTAAGCATGCAAGAACAAATGTCAGAGGTATCTTTGCATAAATAGCTTATATATTTGTTTAGTTATAATCCAGTGTATGTGTGTCGATTATCTAGTGTGTGATTCATTACATTAGAAGAAACAATACTTCACAAGTATTTCATAATTTCGTTACTTTTGTTGTAGCAACTGGAGGAGAACACAATGCAGATAGATTACCCCACCGTTTGGATGTCGACGTACACGATGCTGGAACAAATGGTTGCGCGTCGTAACATAATCACATCCATCTTGGAAAGTATAGAAGGTATAGATCAGGAAGTATTTGAGCTCACCGGCGAACAATGGAAGATCATGCAGGATCTCGTGAATGCTCTGAAACCATTCAAAGTTACCATTATGACGTTGAGCGAGGAAAAAATGCCTCTGATATCGTTGCTGAAGCCTTTACTTTGGCAACTCGTGTCGTCGCATCTCAAAGTGAAGAACACCGACAATGATGTCGCCAAAACGTTCAAAGAATCCTTGTCGAACATGTTATGCGAACGATATTCCAGTAACGACATCTCGTTACTACTGCAAATTGCAACTACTTTGGATCCGAGGTAAATCTCGTCGTTTGGTATCTTTTTGAACTAACTGTATTATTTTCGTTTTTATATTATCACTGTTTTTTCCTTCAATTTTACGTGGAATACAGATTCAAACAATTGCCTTATGCCACGGAGGAGGATAAAAAGATGGTCGCTAACCCTATAAAGGAAATGCTGACGAAGCTGATTCAGGAGGAATCCGGGGAAAACGGTTCTGTAAGGGTCCAAAATGAACCACCAAGTAAAAGACCCAAATCAGGTAGGTTCTCAGCAGTGTTGCTATATCCAGGAATTTATTCCTAAATTTGGGGCTTTGAGGAAATCCTAGGATACGGGGAGAGATTTGATAAAATTTTAATTTATAGGGATCTTAAGAATTATTCAAATTGGAATTAAATTTTCGAAAATCGAGGGATTTTTTGCCTGGGTTAGGGATAAAGTACAGGAATTTCTATTATTTTTTTTTCATGTTGCGACACTAGTTCTTAAGCTGTGATCAGCATGTGACGTAACTCCAACAGCGATATGAAACATATACTGAAACGAATATTTGGTTATAGGAGGCATGATGGAGTATTTTCTCGGTAACTATTGCATTACGAAGAACGGAGTACCCGCGGAGAAGAAAGCGGATCTGGAGATTGTCCAATATCATTCGGAATCGACGGCACCTCTAGACTGCTGTCCATTGCAATGGTGGGCCAAGGTGTCCGCAAAGTGTCCAAATCTCGGGAAACTAGCGAGCAGGTATCACTGCGTACCTGCCTGCTGTGCACCGCCGACACGGATACCGGCGGACGTGCAGATCCTGTACGACTCTAGGCGAGCCGCGATACCACCTCATTTAATCGACAAACTCCTCTTCCTACATGGTAATCACACGGTGTGAAGAGGGTTTTTTTTTTTTTTACTTATTCTTTACCTTATCCATCCTCTACGAGAAACTGTTCGAAAGAGTGCGTGCTGTGTATGTGTATATGTGTCCAGTAAAATATGAAGTATCTTCATGAGGAATAGAAACAAACTCGCATTATAATATAATACGGGATTCGAGTAATGTGCACGCACGCGAAGGAGAACTCTGTGTATAGATGTATAATACGAGAATTAAGTCATATAATGTGTCGTGTGTGTGTGTGTGTGTGTGTGTGTGTGGTGTGTGTGTGTGTGTGTGTGTGCGCGCGCGCGCGCGTGTGTATGCGTATATCGCATAAGTATAACAAATTTGAAATATGTTTTCAATCGTATGTATTTCGTTGATTACAGTTACAGATTTGATACAGATACTAAATTGTGATTGACAAAGCGTATATTGAAAACATCTTAGGGTTGTACATTTGGATTACTTTAATAAAAATATTAGTTCAGTTTTACCAAAGCTTAATACGTTCTACTATTTTTCGATAATTTCGTACCGTTAAATTAGGGAACAGTTCGTTATAACTGTCGTGGAGGTTTCTACATGGTCAACTTCTATCGTGTCTTTATTTTTATCTATTGATAGACTGTATATTTCATGAGAAGTCAAGACGTACGACAAATCTGATAGAATACTTGACAATGTAATTTTTTACCTCGATAATATTGATGATACATCAAAATGATTAAAATTAAGTTGAAGGTATATATAATAGCGAATAATAGCATTTATATGCGTCGATTTAATCTTACTCGTCTTGTTTCTTGTAACTGCGTTATACATAATTACGAGGAGCGCATAATTTTACATTATTATGATATGTAAACAAATTTCGTAATATCTTCTGTTAGATGAAAATACCACAAATATTTTTCTTCGATATTCCTTGGTAAGTATTCATTGTAATTGCACAGTTGTATATAATGCGAGAGAAAGAGAGAGAGGAGGGAGTTGTTTCTTGTCATTATATTGCATAATGTAACTTTAATTGATATTAATCGCTACCAATATATAAGTTATTTTAGTGATTTTCGGAATTATGCATTTAACGAAAAGGCCAACACTTGTGATATTAACTTACGTTTTAAAATTCCGCGATGATAGAAATATTATAGAGAATATAATTAGTATACATTACCAAATAATTTTAATTATTGCACTGAATATCTTTATTAATTACACAATTTATGTCATGCAATTACTATGAGTAAACAATACACGAAATAATTTTCCTTATATATACNTCGTGATATATATATACATATATGTACATATAAATTATATATATATATATATATATATAATTAACTAATTAATTCCTTATATATATGTATATAATTATATATATAATTTAACTTTATACATCTAACGTATGTATATGTGTAAATATTATGAGACCCATGGCACACAAAAATGTAAGCAGCAAATTAATTAACCAACATTACAGTCAATTATTCCTCTAAAAAATAATCTAAGAACAATCGACTATGGTTGGTCAATTTACTATTAATATTTTTATGTGCGTATGTGTATGTGCACCATGGGATTCCAAGTATAAAATATTTGATTATCCAAATTTAGAAATCGATCTATTTTCATATATAAATTTATAAGTTACACGAATCTCATTATTACCATGCTGTGTAAGTTTAATGTATATTTGTATAAATATAAGTGCAATATATAAATAGCTTAAATATTCAAATTATATACAATTGCATCCTTCATATATGCTGCTCAATTTTATTCACGTGTAATTATTCATGAAATACTAAGCTGCTTTTGCAACCAAGCGGAACCTCTGTAAAATCTTGGGTCACCGATTCTCAAGGAAGCCCTCTTGTAAAAGTAATAATACAGTACTGCAACTTTTAGAAAATTTAATATTGTAAAATGCTTATCGAAAGGATATTCTTTTCAAGCATTTCTGAAGTTGCGTACCTGTTCTATGCATGGAATAAAGAGTATGAAACCCTCTCGTCCAATAATGCTTTAATGGCGCTGACCAATGTATGGTAATGTGCCATGTGTGTAAACTAATGGACAGTATCATGTATACAATACATAGTATCAATGTTATACGGAATCTCGTATACAGCAGTTGTATCAATCCTGCCTGAAAGGCAATTTTTTTTAGATATTTCTCTTACATATAAGACTATAAATAGGTAAATAAGTTAATAAGTAAATAAGTACTCACCTGGAAAATATAAGTAGAGAAGAAATTGACCAAGAGTAGCGTCAGATTCGCAATAAGACAAAAATCTTGAATTCTAAAAAGAACATCGTATCGTGTAGCAATTAAGTATAATTGTTTAAGTACGAGATATGAATATAAAAGCGCTACAAGATTTACACACACGTAAAGCACCAGTAAATCCGCCGGATGCTGCCTGGAGAAGCTTGCGAACGAATTGACAGAAATATCGAAAAGTAATATAGCGTACTGCAATATCACGATCGCCGTATACTGCTTTGTATTTAGAGTATTCATTTACCACCTGCAAAAGCTTTCGTAAAATATGAAAATTAATTACTATGCATTTGTGAGAATTTCGTTGTATCGCTCGAAATGGAGGTACACAATTGGTTGCTATGACAATACTACCGTACAAATTGCAGGGAAATTACAGGGACTTTCGAATTTGTCCCGAACGCGGCGACACTGCTCGTACCTAACCTGTTCTTATCGCGAACTATTCGCGCAACTTTTGGCGCGAAGTGTTTGACAGCTGAGAGAAAGGTTAAAGTCAACAAGTTGCTTCTCGTGATAACTTACTTCGCTCTTATTTATTGTACCGTAATAAGATCGTAAAAGGATCGTCCGTCGGCTTCAATCGAGACGATGAAGTGCATCACTCCTGAAATTTCGTGGCATAATCGCGATCCGGTGCTGAGCGTTGACATACAGAACGGTTCATACAAAAATAGGGAAGGACAAACGTTTTGGAGAATCGCTACCGGAGGAGCGGATTATCACGTTTTGGTAATATAATTATGAATAACCACATCACCCCTGTCTTAGAAAAGATTTTATTCAAGCGTAGAGAGAAAATGTCGAAATTGAGTTTTCATTGCAGGTGTTGCCTTTTTTTTTTTTTTTTTTTTTTTCTAAACAGTTTTGACATCTCTTTTTTCTAAACAGTTCTGATCATGTAGTAGTATTGATGATAAACATTTTTCGTTAATGTTCCATCTAAAACGACTGATTTAATAGTGATTATACATTCAGGAATAATCCACAATGTATAATTTTAATGTTTCTATACAGATTTGGCACATAACAATAACGGAATGCAACGGTGTCACTGTGAACTATGTAGCAGACTTGGAACGTCATCAGAAGGCAGTAAACGTGGTGAGGTTTTCCCAGTCCAAAAAGATCTTAGCATCGGGAGACGATGGTTAGCAATTAATATACTTATATATTATTTGATACGCAGTTTTTTCTTCCTCATGTATAAATATATATATAGATTAATATTCATGTTAACATATTATTTACAGAATCTGTTATTATCCTGTGGAAATTGAAAGAAGGACATGACTATTCTCTACCTTCAGACACTGAAAATAAGGAACAATGGGCTTCTTGGAAAGTACTGAAGGGCCATATCGAAGATATTTACGACATCAGCTGGTCGCCAGACTCTAATTTCCTAGTTTCTGGTTCTGTGGATAACACTGCTATACTGTGGGACGTTAAGAAGGGCCGTAATATCGCGATATTATCAGATCATAAAGGCTTTGTGCAAGGAGTCTCTTGGGACCCTTGCAATCAATATGTGTGTACTATTAGCACAGACAGGTATGTGTTTCACTCTGTGTGTGTGTATATGTGTGTAAATTTCAAATTATAAATATCTTTTAAACTTCAACCCTGTCAATTACGACATTTTGCACACTTCAGAAATATCATTCGTACAATAAATTAATATTTGTAATTATTCGTACGAATGTTTGTGTGACAAAACTTACTGTTTCAGGCAGTGCCGTTTAATAGACATCGCCAAGAAGAAGGTCGTTCAGCGTGTTCATAAGTCCAAAATCCCAACGCCGCCGGGCCATCCGTTGGAAGGGAAGGTCGTCCGTTTGTTTCACGACGACACGTTCAAATCTTTCTTCCGCAGGCTAACTTTCACCATAGACGGCTCACTGATTATCGTGCCATCCGGAATAATCGAGCCGCAGGAGACCACCGGCAGCATATCGAACGCGACGATCGTCTTTTCCAGGCAAAATATGAAAGAGTCAGTATCCGGGATTTCCGCTCCGGAAGTTCGTTCCGGAAGGGGCGACCGCAACCTTAACGATCAAATCGTCCTTCTTTCAGGCCGTTAATGATCCTGCCCACTCAGGACGAATGTACCATAGCTGTACGATGTTGTCCCGTGTACTTTGAGCTGCGCAAGGACGGCCCGGTTTCCGTGATAGCGCTGCCTTACAGGATGGTGTTCGCCGTTGCGACACAGGACTCCGTGTTGTTTTACGACACGCAACAAACCTGGCCGATCGCCATGGTATCGAACATTCATTACGGTAGATTAAACGACATTTCGTGGTACGTTATTCTTTTATTTACACGGGAATTATCTCTTTGGTTTAAGTACATAATTCAAATAATAAGCAAAAATCTGAAATATAAATTAACAATAAGAATGGAAAGGAAAACAAATAGAGGAAGAAAGCAAAGTAACAAAAATTGCCGGCGGAAAAATCTAAGCTACAATAATAATAATATGAAAGAAAAAAGAAAAACAATTAATGAAGAGTTACCGGACGTAATCGCCGCGTTATCTGCCGTTCGAGTCGACTGGTCTTAAATTCTCTCCCATCTCTATCTCTCTCTCTCTCTCTCTTTCGTAGGTCCAGCGACGGACGAATCGTAATCGTATCCTCGAGCGACGGCTACTGTTCCGTGATACACTTCGACGAGAATGAATTGGGCCAGATTCACACGGTGAAAGAGCCTGTGAATCCGCCGAAGGAGATGCCGAAGAGCTCCGGCAAGAAATCTACGAGCGTTAAAGGCAAAAATAGAGGGGTCTCGGCGATCGACGTTGACGAGAGCGCGATGGACATCGATATCGCGCGGTTCAACGTCGCTAGAGCGAACGATCCTCGTCCCGAGAAGAAACCGGCCGAGAAGAAGAAGAAGAAGTCGTCGGAAGACAAGATCGTTCGGAATCACGGGCGCGGCGACACGGAGAAAAACAGCAAGCCGTCGACGGAGAAGACAGTGAACAAGTCGAGCGAGGAAACCGCCGGGGAAGAGACGGAAGATATCAAGTTGGTGTATCACGAGGACAGCACCGACGATGCGGCCAAGTATGCCAAGAAAGCTGCCCCTGTGACGGCCACCGTCGTCGCACCGATCAAGTGCAACAAAGCACCGAGACGAGTGCAACTGATAACCCTGTCGAGCCCGAGGGAGCTGAAGAAACAACAATAGCTCGTTGCGAAGAAGCAGATGGATCTCTTCCGAGACTCGTTGTTGCGGGGACGGTTTCGCAAGCTCTTTTCGCCAACGAACCGTCCGCCGGGTTTTTTTTTGTAGCCGCCGTTTACAACTGTTTTTATTATAATTAAGAATACACCAGGGGGAGGAGTTGCGAGAGAGCGTCTCGACGACGTTATTGTATAATACAGAGAATCGTGGATATATATTCCGAGCTGTAAATTGCACACACGTGTAGTTTCCTTCTTCATACATAAGCTACTTCATCCTTGAAGCTCGGGCAGGGAAGCCGCGCTCTTTTGTACCTTGAACCTTCTCGTTCCCTGAGAAACCCATCTATATAACCGGCCTGTATGTGTGTGCAGCTGTATGCGCGCACACACACACGCATACAATCGTCGTGCTATAGCAAGCATAGAGCGATCCGTGTCGCCTATGATTCCGCTACACAGATATCGCATATATATATGTATATATACATACATATATGCATATAGATATATATATGTGTATGTAGTGCTGCTGCTATTAAATGGCGAAGCACCAGTGATCAGACCATCGGCGAAGTCAGACAGTGATCGAGTCGTGCCACCAACCGACGCGCTGCTTGCTACCGGATACACACGACTGTAAAAAAAGAAAACATGGTGAGTGCCCGCTTTTCGTTTTCCCACTCGTTTTCGACGTCTCGAGTATCCTCGATTATCGCGTATTTGTTTCCGCGCGTTTGTATCGATAGGGAAAAAAAGAAAAAAAAGCTTTCCATCGTCCGAATTCGCAATCGAAGCGCGCGGGTTTTACGCGGAACGAGAAGAAGAACTCGTTGTCTCTCGGGTTGCTTGTGTGTTGTTCGGCAAACGCGAGAAAAGGATATTCGCTAATGTTAAACTAAAGCGTACTAAGAGCCGCTCTATCTACCGTTTTATTCTTTCATTGCCACGTCGATGTTTGAAACGGAGCCTTTCCTGTGCGCGCATTGATCCGCCCGCTAGTCGGAAAGAAAGAGAAAAATCGCGCGCGGTGAAAATGTACTTATGATATTTTTTCAAGAGCGAGATATTTGGAACTTGCAACGACGTCATGATGCGCGATGATGCGCGAATTCGTATAAACATCACAATAACAGGAATTGATCGGGTCCTTATATGACAACCACTGTCCCGAAGCGTTATAACATGCACGCGACATAAAGTAAACGAAACGTACGGCTTGGAAAGTATAATCGTAGCACCGCGTATTCCCGCGAATAAAATTTCTTCGAGTGCGATTGCAGAGCTTACAAGACACGACTAAAAGTTCGTTCGAGCGCGCGAATAAGGCGAAAGAGTCGAAAGAAAAGTAAATTAAAAGAGCTTAAGAAGAAAATTTAAAATAAAAAAAGCCGAGCAAAAAATATGTTCGGGAAGGATACACAGAAAAAAATAGTATTAAATCACACACACGCAATGATAGATATTCTCATATATAAATAAAAATATTATCATATTCTTAGATGATTCTTACAAGATTCTTAGTCTTGGACTGAATGCAAGAACTTGCATTGATACAAATTCAATCAAATCGAGATTAAAAATCTTGTAAGAAGATTACAATATTCTTGTTTACACATAAGAATATCTGTCATTGATTTAAAACTAATTTTGTTTTTCGTGTACACTCGATAAAATTTGCGGATTTACCGAGTGTAAAATTTCGTAAAAATGCTTAAATGTGTTATTTTTTCATCAAGATTTTTCTTCTTGCTTTTATACACCCTTTTTTTGATTAGTTGAAACTGAAATCTTTGAAACTTCGAAGGGAAACGTCGATCCGGAAACAATTATTTTTCGCTCTTATACTACGTGATTACAGTTCTTTTTACGTAATTCTTCTATTATACGTATAGTTCGAGAAAAATTCCCGATGCCTGAAGGTTATTGGTACATTTTTTAAACTACACGCGAAACTTGAATTACGTCGATACACGTTATAAATGCAAATTGCTTAAATCTACGGCTTAAATACGTGTAGTATAAAATCATCTTTTCCTCCTCGCAATCTTTACGATCGTCGAGATCTTTTCATCCTACAAAAAATTATTTTATCAAAATAAGCAGATAAAATGTAAAGAAGAAAATATGGCGAAACTAAATATGGTTAAACCAAACTCCTCGCAATCGCCGATTCAAACGTGATTCAATAAACAAGAAACATTAAGTCAATCTTTCGAAACATTGATTTTACGTGAAATTTATAAACATTTTGACATGATATTTGGTAAATATATTTAAACTGCAATATTCCAATATATTAAAATTATAGCATAGAAATATTATTCTTAACGTTTGGGTCAAACATTGTTAACAATGACGTTGTATGTATTAAAAATTACTTACTCGAAAACGTTACATGTTTAAAATGCATAAAACGTCATTGTAATAACGCTGTCTTTAGGATTTCTTGCTTACCGAGGAGCTTTCATAAAAAGAATTCCGATTTGCAAAGTGCATTTCTCGAGTGTGCCGGCTGAAAAGCGAACATTTCAAATGATTAATCAACGATATCCAATCATAACGATATTTTCCAGTCTCCTGCCATATTTGGTGATCCATATTCGACCCAGGTATTACTCGATCGTCGTGTGTGCGTGCCTCGTAAATGCGATTCCCTCACTCTCACACACACACGGGAGATCATCTCTTCGGCGAATCGCGGAACCGTGTCACATGCACGTGGCGTACAGTGCTTGACGTTCGATTAAGCTGCTATGGTTACAGCGTGTCAACCTATAAAAAATCGATTTTTACCGTCACATGCAGATAGAGAATGTATAATATCGCAGGAGTAGGAAACAACACATTGTCTATGCTGCATAGACCGGCGAAGTAGGCCGGCTATAGGCATGCCGATATAATTGTACACACACTTTTAGGACGCGGCTGAAATATTAAAGAGAGACACGTCAGGTCAAGGTGGACGCTCCTCCACCTTCACAGACGTTGTTGACGGCACTAAAGCACCGCTTTAGTCGACGATGTATCGGCCCCCCAGTCAGTAATCACACCCTGTTGAGCATAGTTCCATGCTCGGTCAATTAGGTGCTGTGCTCGACAGATCTGACTTGAGCTCGATCGGGTTTTTGGGGTAACTCTTAACGTGAAGGGCCTCCCTCTGGCGTGGAGCATACCGTTTGTTTCCCGTTCTTGATTTTTATTAAATTCACTGTAGCGAGAAATTCACCCGGATACGGCTGGACTTCAAATTCCGATGGTGATCGCTCGAAACGGAATGTCGGAATATTTTCGATATGAATGAAAGTCGCATAATTACTCGAAATATTTCGGGACGGAAATTTTGTATTCGAATAAGTCAAATATTTGCCAAAAAATGAGAGGTTCATTGCTGTTATTTCCGATCGATCGAGAGAAGTGCGAAATGGACGAATAGAAACAAATACTCAGACGGCGTGAAACCTACAGCCGGGATATAAGACGTCTTTAAGGCGTCTTAAAGTCGTTCGTAAGTAAGACGTCTTATGTCCTGATTTTAAGTTTTGTCTGGGTACAAACGGAAGAGAGAATTGATCAATTGTAAAGTTAAATTCCGTCATCCAGTAAACACCATTAATGTTATTCCCCATTTAACGATGTAATTGTTACATACAATACAATGTTATACTGCACTTACATCGTTGAGTGGGAAGTTATGACATCGATATAATGTTACTGTCACCCAGTGAACACCGACCAACAGTAATATAACGTCAATATTATAATTTCTCGCTCAACAATGTAATATAATGCAATATAACGCGTGTGTTATGCAACTGTTACATTGTAGTTATTGCTTGATACATGTAATTCGTTATACAATTCCCTAACTTGGCAAAATAAATTCTCATTCTCGTCAGACGACAGTTAGTCCGAGAACGCCCGTAAAGCAAGAATTTTGTCAGGAATACGAGAAGTCGAATGCGTTCTACCGGGATTTATAGCTATTAAATTTACACAACTATGGAGTATTCAGCCAAATTAAGTGTGTGTCTGGTGCAAGGATACCATTAATTAAATTCACGTTAATCAACACAAAGTGAACTTTGCGCGTGTCTCGACAGTATTGTGTTTAGCTATCACTTTTCTTGTCTGTATAATTTTTACCGTGTATGTTTCGAAGTGCCATTTTTGGTGTGCAATTTTTCACAAGTGTGTATCGGTGATTACCGTGCATCTGATCTGTCTAATCATCTGATCAAAAGCGAAACGAGGCTCTCTTTTCGCCCGGAAATGGCGAAGAAGGTAATTCACGCAAAGCTCTCGTAATGAGATTTGAACGTCGGTTACTCATTGTCGATTTGCGTGCGTTATGCATCGTCCTTTACGAGTTTATAAACGCGGCAGTGGCTGTCGTGAATATTTTACGATGCACGATGTGGCAATCGTGGCTAAACGTAGCACGATACAGTAATATGCGACAATACTGGTAATGGAATGGTCTCGTTCTTAACGTACGACATGTTTATAAGATCATTCACGATATTGAGACTACTTCGTTTACGTCGAACAATAACACTCAATCAAACAAATCGTAAATCGTATCCTTTTTGAATTTCAAATTTATCTCTCTACGTGTTGAAACGGAAAATGACGATAAAAAACTGTTTGCTGTTTGAACAAATATAGGCTGTATTAATTTTAATTTTCGTAAATCAATATTATCTTCTCACTATTTACTTCGGGAGAAAAAGGAAGAAACTTTGCGTTCTCTTTCGGATGATCTTTTCTCAATCGAAGGCATCTTTGGCCACTGCGACCCGCAATATCCGTTTGTTCTGATCCGCAGCGGGAATGCATATCAATTCACATTGGGCAGGCGGGCGTGCAGATGGGAAACGCCTGCTGGGAGCTCTACTGTCTGGAGCACGGCATCCATCCGGACGGGCAAATGCCCAGTGACACCACCGTGGGCTACGGGGACGATTCCTTTAACGCGTTCTTCTCCGAGACTGGCTCGGGCAAGCATGTCCCGCGCGCCGTTCTGGTTGATCTCGAGCCGACGGTGGTAGGCAAGTGTCTCGAATGCCATGATTATCTATCCACAGTCATAATTCGGTTTAAGTCAGCTTCCGAATTAGTGACGCATTCTTTATGAATTTGTTGCCAATTCCTCCGCCAAAGCCTAGAATATCACGTAACTTTATTCCTTTATTTATTTATTCATTAAATTAACGGACGTGAGAGACCTTTTGGCACACAGGTTGAAAGACGGAGGAAACTATACAAGATCGATACTAATATATAAGTAAAATTCTATACATTATATGCAAACAATTTTATAATTATTAAATAATTCGTACATTTAAAAGTTACTCGATTAGAGACATTACCGAGTGTTGCAACATTGTAAAATAAAATGTGCGCATATCGCTGGATTAAGATTAGAGATTTCGCGTACCAGCGAAGTTCTGTGATATCGATCGCCTAATCTTGATGCATTTTATCATAGAATATTCAGTAAAGTTAAGTAAATATCAACTAACACAGTAATTATGTCACTGTTACAATTCCCCACTCAACGAGATGTAATTACATACAAAATATGTTATATTGCGTTTACACGAGTTATCGAGTGGAAAATATATTAATATAATAATAATTATAACATCGATGTAGCGTCACTGTTGGTTCGTGTTCACTGGGTATCCCAGTAAGCGAGAAACATTAAATCAAACTTCCGAAACACTGATTTTACGTGGATTTTATAAACATTTTGAAATGTTTTATAAATATTCTGAAACTGTTATTTGATAATATAATATTCCTAAATATTAAAATCATACCGTACAAATATTATTTTTAATGTTTGGGTCGAATATTGTTAACAATGACGTGTGCACGACATTAAAAACTACATATTTGAAGACGTTACATGTTATAAAATAATATTGCAATAACGTTGCGTTAATGATTTCTTGGGTGTGCATCGCGCGTCGTAATCCGATGTAGGTGCGAGATAACGAGTCGTCTGCGTGAATATTTCAGACGAAGTTCGCTCGGGCACTTACAAACAACTGTTCCACCCGGAGCAAATGATCACCGGGAAGGAGGACGCGGCTAATAATTATGCCAGGGGCCACTATACAATAGGTATTTCGATTTTTTCTCGCTTGAGCTTTGAACACGAAGAACTCGTGCCGGACGCTTGCCGGAACGTTATCGATCAATAAATGCAAATTGAGAAGCGCATTAGTAGGGGAGGGAGAGAGAGAGAGGGAGAGAGAGAGATACGAATCTCTCTCGCGGGAAATGTGGTGTGTTAATTCGTCCTGCGATTCACAGGGAAAGAGATCATAGATCTCACGTTGGACAGAATACGCAGGCTGACGGAGCAATGCAAGGGCCTGCAAGGCTTCCTGATCTTCCATTCGTTCGGCGGTGGCACAGGATCCGGATTCTCGAGTCTGCTTATGGAACAACTGTCCGCGGACTATCCTAAGAAGAGCAAACTTACTTTCAGCATTTATCCTGCGCCCCAGGTAATATTTTCCGCGTGGAAAAATTGTGGAAAATTCTGTTTGAAACTTGTTTAGAAAATTCCGTTCGGAAATTCTGTTTCTAAAACTCGTTTAAAAAATTGTTTAAGATTTTCAAAAATTGTCTGAAATGTTGGCGAAGGTAATTTGAAACTGTCAGAAATGGTTGGAAAAATTCTGACGAATTCTTGAAGGAACTCAAGTGATATAAATCAGTTAGTGATAATATCCAGCGTCAAGTCGACGTCGATTCGATGTTGATTTCTCGCTGGACATCTAATAAGTAACTTAGAACTGCAAAATCCGTTTAAACTATAAACTAATTATACAGTGAAAGAAATTAGTCGTCACTTATCGCCTTTACCGGAAGTAACCGCTTTCTTTTCTGCTTCCTGTAGGTGTCGACCGCAGTAGTGGAACCTTACAACGCGATCCTGTACACTCATCCGACGCTAGAGCACAGCGAGGTGGCTTTCATCGTAGATAATCAGGTCTATAGATGAATTTAAAATCGACTTTTCTTCAGCAAAAACCAACCTTGCCGTCCGTCGCTCACGTTGCCTTTCAATTTTCCGCGATTCTCGACGATCAGAGACTACTCAAAAATATTTATAAAATATTATGTCGAAATGTCGATAAAATCCACGTAAAATCGATGCTTGAAAAGATTGATTTAACGTTTCTTGCTCACTAGACAGGTAATATAGCAATGTTACGTGTCTCTTTGCATAATCCGCGTATATTTTATTCGCAGGCCATTTACGAGTTGTGTAGGAGGAACTTGAATATCGATCGACCGACCTACACGAATCTAAATCGGCTAATTGGACAAATGGTTTCATCCATCACCGCCAGTTTACGATTCGACGGGGCTTTAAATGTCGACCTCACGGAATTCCAGACGAATCTCGTGCCTTACCCGCGCATTCATTTCCCGTTGGTAAAGCGATGCTCTCCTAATTAATCTTATCGATCTTAATGTAACAATTCATATATAAATTATTAATTTTACTATAGTCAAATTCAAATAATATAATTCTTTTATCAACGATCGCTAGTGTTGGATAGTATAATCGATTACAAATTTTGCTGCAAATATTTTGTATTTCGATCAATCTATGTCAGGCATTTTCATATATATTAATTAATTTTAATGATGTTACACGCACACAGGCCACCTACGCACCTGTCCTGTCGGCGGAGAGGGCTGGTCACGAGACGCTGACGATCTCGGAGATAACGAGCTCTTGTTTCGAGCCGAATCATCAGATGGTGAATTGCGATCCGCGTATGGGGAAGTACATGGCGGTCTGCCTGCTGTACAGGGGCGACGTGGTGCCGAAGGACGTGAACGCGGCGATCGCAACGATCAAACGGCAGAAGCACGTGCAGTTCGTCGAGTGGTGTCCGACGGGGTTCAAGGTAAGTCGGAGCAGCTCTGATTAAAAATACGAGAGAGAAAATATGAGATCAAGGAATGATAAAATGTATAAGATAATTTTAAGTCAAATAATTAACTCTTGTGGTATATCGCGTCATAAAGAAGTTCGAATGACGGTAAAACTAATTTCCAGTTTGGAAAATTATATGTTATTTATCTTACAACAATGTGTGTTCTCACAGATTCATTTTAATTAAATCATGTCAGGAGATATGTCGTCCGATTAAATTTCAGAATTTTATTAAATCCTGAAATTCAATCAATAATTATGTCCGATATTAGTAAATACTTGATACTAAAAAAAAAAAAAAAAAGTTGACCTTGAAATGGATTTGAATTATTGACGATGCATGTTAACGTCACCAAAATATGTCCCTCTACAGACCCTACAACTTTTGTCTGATTTCTTTCTATTTTGCTTTACTTTCGTTACAATTAAGGTGTCTCAATTTAAATGCCCCACCCTGTATACATTATTCTAGTGTATTTGATGTTTTTTTTAGAATTTTACTGGTAATATGCATTTATGTGTATCAATAGGTGGGAATAAACTATCAACCACCCACAGTCGTACCAGGTGGGGATCTCGCGCGGGTGGAAAGAGCAGTGTGCTGCCTCTGCAACACAACGGCGATCGTCGACGCCTGGGCTCGACTCGACCACAAGTTCGATCTCATGTACGCCAAGCGAGCTTTCGTGCACTGGTGAGATATTTCGCCTGGATGTAACATCTGCATTAGGAATGAACTGACCTTGTAATTAACAATGAACGAAGGGACAGAAATGAGCACGATGTAAGAAAACATTTGCAGGTTCGTCGGGGAAGGTATGGAGGAAGGTGAATTCTCGGAGGCGAGGGAAGATTTAGCCGCCTTGGAGCTCGATTACCGTGAGGTGCAAGAGGACGCTGTCAATACCGAAGAAGAGGAAGAATACTGATTGAATATGCTGTTACCATGTCGATTTAATAATCGTGTATGTCGTAATATGTTCTGATAAATGCGAACTCTTTAGTTTACCTCTCACTATTGTATACATTGTTGTTGTATACGTATATGTATATACATATATGTGTATATATATGTATATACATATATGTGTATATATGTGTATATATACAGACGATTGTATCTATACCAATAAATCGTTTATACATTCTATCAATCGTCTTACTGTGTCCATCTCGAAAATGGACACATATTATCATATCCATCGTTGCTGACTTTGATAAATATTAATTGCATGCTTGGCGATAAATATGGTCATCGCATTTTCAAATGTGAAATATTCGGGAGTTAAAATCAGATTATACTTAACGCTGGAGCTCACGGCATGTACGATTCCGTTTTTTATGTTAGTTGCACGTGAGGCATCTTTCCAGCTAATAAATTACTAGACATTCTTAGTTATTTCTAATGCTAATGTTTCCGCCTTGCATGCACCAGCATTCGGCCGGTGGCCTATCCACGCTGGAGGAGGGATCTTTAGGTTAGGTTATGCGAAGTTATGTATTTGTTACTGTTTTTTTAACTAACCGAAAATCAATGATCCTCGTGCAGAAATAGGTGACACTAAAAGACGCGAGACTGTCAATGTCTTATTAGCTCGTGATTCTTGTTAGTTTGTATTCTTCATTTAATTTTGCAGAAGGGGTAATATATTTCATATATATATACATCAAGTGATAGAATTGTTTTCTATTAAATATGTTGCCCGTATATATGGTATCAAAGTAAGTACACTTTCATACAAATGTAAGGAATATTATAAATTAAACTTGATGAAATTTTACTTCGGTTCCTAAAGAAACGTATAGTTTTCACGATGCATCAGTTACACGGTATAAAATAATTTATTACACTTACACGGTATTTTTGTAGATATAATATAAGACCTTTGAATGGAGTATTATTTCAATGGCTAAACATCAGTGTGAGATTTTGTTCCTCATCGGACTCCTCAGATTCCTCAGATTCTGATTCTGATACTGAGAAAGTGAAACGGGGGGAAACTTTCTTTAAGAGCGCAAAGCCTGCAACATCAGATAATAAAACTGATTTAGGAAGCTTTTTAAACAAGATGATACAAGTAAACTATAACCTTTTAGTTATTTTAATTATTCATCGTGCCTGGAATGTTATATGTTAGTTTGTATAGAGAATATTTTTTAAATAATTTTTTTTTTCAGGATAAAGTAATTTTAAAAGCAACTAAAAATACTCCCATAAGTTCTTCGATGCAAGTGGTAAAAGTTTTTTTGTCTTCTGTTACATTCTATTATATCTTAGAACGACTATTTTTTAAATGTTTTGTTTAGGAGCAAGAAGATGCAAAAACAAAAGCAACCAATGAAAGCGATTTAACTGAATTTATGAATAACATGTTAAAGGTAAAGTTATTGTCCTGAGATAAAAGAACAATTAGATCTTCCTCAGATGGAATTGTAAGTTAACGAATTTTGGTATCATCACATTTAGGCAAGGAAGTTAGAGAAGACTATCGATGTTGCCATACAGCCTAGGAAAAGTGCACCAAAGAAAGTAAAGCCTTTGTCTTACGGTAACTTGATGCAATATTATAATTACAAAACTATGCGGTTCAAAATCTTGACACTATTAAATTATATCCTTATGTTTAATGTAGAGAAGAAATTAATAAGAGCGGCTGAAGATGTGGCTGACAAACTTGGCGGAGATAAAGCAAAGACTACGTCAGATTTGCTTCAGAAAGTTCTTCAATATAAAACTGAAGCAGAGAAAAAAGACGAGCGATTGACGACAGGCACGGATCAGTACAAAGCTAAGGCAGAGAAAAAGGACGAACAAGTGACAAGAAAAAAAGATAGCACCAAATCCGACATAGATCCTATGGAATTCATGTATGTAGATATATACATACATGCATACGTACATATACATATATATATATATATATTCTTTATCTCCGCCAAGTTATATATATATATGTGTGTGTGTGTGTGTATGTATGTATGCATGTATATATATATAAATTATAAAATAGATAAATCGCATGTACCAAACGTGATGAAGAATTTTTTCATAACTCACTGAACGTTAATGTTTCCTCTTTTATTTATTACTATATTACTTTTCATATATTTAATAACAGAAAATCGAAGTACTTTGAAAAACCCAATCTGGCAAAGAATGAGAAACGAGAAAGTTCCATGAGCGAGAGACACTCGAAAAGTAAATCTGTTATACAAACCCTCCTGCATGAATATAACAAACAAGTGGAAACTAGAAATGTAACGCGGCAATTATCGAAAAATGATGTGCCCGTGCAGCAATCGAGGAAGAATGAACAGAGGAAGCCTTTCACCAGGTAAATCGCATGATATATTATTATCAATATTATATACTTTTTATCTTAATAAAAATAATACATAATGTCTGGGTCATCTATGTACTCATCATATGCAAGACGTCGGTTATTTTCATTCCATTCTTTTCCCCCACGATAGGCAAGATCTCAACATTTGGAACGGAGCGCCCAGTCAGGCCTTTGAAAATATGGGCGACGCTTCGCCGGACATACCAGAATTGAAAATGTGGGCAGCGTTAGAGCAGAGAGAGCTGAAAGCGCTCACGACTTATTCACCTGCCAACGTTTTCCAAGAAATGATTCTTTGGACGGAGCAAGGGAAATTATGGAAATTTCCGATCGACAATGAACAAGGTTTCATCTCATATAATATGCGATATCGTTCTATTTTTCTAACACTTGTAATACTCGGGGTGCAACCTCAGCTCACTCATTATTACTTCAGGAATGGAGGAGGAGCAGAATGTTCACTTCTCCGAGCATGTCTTCACGGAGCGTTACTTGAAAGGATGGTGTCCCACGGCGGGTCCCATACGTCACTTCATGGAGCTGGTGTGTGTCGGACTTTCGAAAAATCCGTACATGACGGTTCAAGAAAAAATCAACCACATTATGTGGTACAAAGATTACTTTAAATCTAAGGAAGAGCTACTGCAAGAGTTAGGAGCGATCAAGGAGCCATTTTCTGACACGACGAAACAGATTACACAGTAATGGAGTAAAATATACGATAAAATAATTGTATAGAATATATTTAGATGCTCTGCAATTTTCAAGTTTCGATGTAAAGAGAATCCTTGTATATCCTTACAGACGCATTTGAAGAAATAAAATATGTTGTAAACAGGTTTAAGATATATTTTCAATATCTTTTTATAGCAAATACTTACCTGAATGTTATTATTTGTTATAATTGTATGTTAAATACAATATTAATAATACATCAAAAAAAGGAACTATTCAGGTGATTCAGATGTCCATGGTTCTTCGTAATCTTCAATTAGTAAGTTTCTGTCCTTGGATAATTTAATTTTTATGCCGTTAACCGCAGGAACCATCGATAATATTTTAATTCTATTTACAACCAGAAGAGAAGAATTATCCAGACTTCGATGTAGAATTAAGTCAACTTCATCACTTATATCCAGCTGTAATAACATTTTTATGTATAGTATGTTAATAATATAAGATATAATATCTAAAAATATATATAAAAAATATGTTCATGTATGTTTATGCATATATATATATATATATATGTACAAATATAACAGATTATTATACTTGGTTGACAAATGTGTCTTACTGCATAAATTCTTACCTCTTTGGATTTTTTAAATATTTTCTGTCCATTCAAACGAATTTTACTTGCGTAAAATGCTTCATCTATTTTACTAAAAGCAAGGAATATATTACACAAAATATCATAACAAAATTATTTTTATTAATTATAAAAGAAAACATATATATAACACTAATCATATCAGAATCTTGAAGTTGAACTGTAAACGTGATATATGTCTGATATTAATTAAAATTAAATCAGGCATACCTGCGTGACATAGAAAATCCAACTTTAGAAATAGTATCCAATCGAATAGACTGAGTACTTATTGTGAGCACTTTTGAACCAATGGGTGCTTCTGCTTCTACAATGTCCTCTTCTTCGTCAGAAAATTCTTCATTCTGATTTTGCTGCAATATATTTCAAAAGAAATAATTCAAAAACGCATTTGTCTGCAATAGAAATGAAAGATATATGAACACTTTATTTTAATATACGAATAAATTACACGTACCTTCTTCTTACTGGACTTAAATCTTTTCACAACATACAAGTTGCAGTGATCTTGTGGCTTAGCATTGATATCGTATGTCGGATTTGATTGTAAACAGTAAAGCGTACGTGCATTGTTGTACAGAGATCTTCTAAAAATATTAAACGCAGCTCTGGACAACATGATAATTAAGTACTTTTAAACAGTTCGGATGATCCAAGTATTAATTACATAACCTATTTTACAATTAAAGGAATATATACAATTAATCGTGTTGTACCAAATTGTTCGCACGAGGTTAAACGCAACTTTATTTCGTACTGTTTTGTACTTTAGTAACTACACATGAATCTCATGTCACATAAGAAATTTTTATATCGTTATACGAATAAAGTCCGTTCGCTTTATCGTTGAACAGTATTACTTGAAACCGTCGACTATCGCGAGTTCTGATTGGCTGCTGCTTTATACTGCTTCGTCGTTAAGTTGTAAATTCTCCCTAAAGCCCGTATCAGACTACGAATTAGAGATTGAGATTGAATTGAAATTTGACCAATCAGTGCGAAGTGCATTAAATTTCACTAAATTAGAATTCAGTTAACTTTGCACTGATTGGCCAAATTCAATTCAATCGTAATCCCCAATCCATAGTCTAATACGGGCTTAATACGTGTCCGATTTCTTGAAAACAGTCAATTGCTGCGTTCAGAAAACACTAGAGATCAGTGGGCGGTCAGTGATCATTGGTCATTACTGTTAGATTCTAAAATTTAGGCCAATCATGTTGACGAATTACTCGACTGTTGTATTTTTTCCGAACGCAGCCGAGGTGAAATGTAGCGAGCCGAGAGGAAGTGCATACACCATTTTGTCCGTCATCAAGGTAAGACTCGCCACTTTCCAGACAATTAAGCTATTAAATTGCGATTCTTCGCGAGTGTTCCGTCGCCTGCGCGTCCATCCGGTCGTTATAAATAACAGGAACGTTTGTCGACTAGGCAGCAGTATCGAAGAGACGACCAACCGTTTCCTCACCGTTGATCATCAGCGCAGTCAATCGGTCTCTGTTCCATCGGAAGCTTCCTTCGTCGCCTCGTGCTTCTCGGCCGTGTTATTTGTATTTTTCTCTCATTCAGGAACATCACTCTAGAGTACGATGCCAAAGAATAAAGGTTAGTAGAACCACCGTTTGTTTCACCACCGATTGTATTCGGCTTTCCCGTTCGCATGGCGCGATTATTCGCCCAGGACGATCGTATTGCGTTTTGTGTTTTCTGCAATGTGGCTCAGAGTCGACCTAACCTTGTAATGTCAAGCTTTTGATAGAATTCCTTTTTTCTGGTCTTGTATGTTGTGTCGGACTCTGTGCTTTTCTTCTTTCGGTCAATTCTCATCCCCGCAATCTTCCCGTCGGTCCTCGTTGTTGCGAGATTTTATCCTCTGTTCGCAGGAAAGGGAGGTAAAAACAGGAGAAGGGGTAAGAACGAAAATGAAACCGAAAAGAGAGAGTTGGTGTTCAAGGAAGACGGACAAGGTGAGGTATCAGTGCGCGGAAATACGATGCGTTTACATGTATACATGTGCGTCTGACGCTGTTTATTCTTTGCAGAATACGCTCAAGTTACAAAAATGCTGGGTAACGGTAGGCTAGAGGCGATGTGCTTCGACGGGGTGAAACGATTATGCCACATCAGGGGGAAGCTGCGTAAGAAGGTGTGGATCAATCAGGGTGACATCATATTAATTGGCCTGAGAGATTATCAAGATGCTAAGGCAGATGTTATATTGAAATACACATCTGATGAGGCGCGTAACTTGAAAACTTACGGCGAATTCCCGGAAACTGGTGAGTAATATCGTGTCGCATGAGTACTGTAGTCGACATTATGAAATGTGTTCCGATACAGTTCACATGATGAATTTAGTTTGCGATGCAACTTGTATCTTTGTTACTAAACCGGAATTGTCGTTTACTTCAGTTCGAATCAACGATACGGTCACTTTCGTGGAAGATGGGCTCGACGAGGACATTGAATTTGGTGATGAAATTAGTAATGATGATGAAGATGATGTCGACAATGTAAGTTTTTGCACAAATCTCTCGACGTTGTTTTATTTTCGTAAATTATTATCATTACTATAATTAGCTTTTATTCTTTAGCTTCATTAGACCTAATTCTTCCAGTCTTCTTCTACATTCATATGATGTAAAATAGTCAGCTGTTCTGTTAACCATTAACGACAGTGAATTCCAACCGGACAAATGAATTTCATGCTTTACATGTATAATTTATGATGACAAATATAATATATTATTGTGTTTGCAGATCTGATGACCTACAGTATAATAATAATAAAATTATTATTATTATTATAACGAATAAAAATACATCACCACACAGAATATGCATGGGGACAACTATTCATTTCACGAGATGCAATTACACATCAAATTCTCCCCCTATCGAGTAGTCCATATATCTTCCTGTATTTAAAAATAAATTGTCAGTTTATGGGTGACACTGTGTTCCGTTTTGAAATGTTGTAGTGGATTCTGATGTGTTTTGTAAATTTTTGTATTAACACGAATTTATATTTGCCGGCAGTAAAGAGAGATCTCGTATTAATTCCGTGATTCATCATACAATTGCTATGTGTTTCAGTTGCAAGATAATACACGTACAAATATATGTTTACACACATACATATATAAATAAAAATCTTTTTACATTTGTATTACATTTTTTTTTTCGCGATTAACACAACCACTACATCAGCAGAAACGACACAGGTGTACGCCATTGCTTAAACGGGAAATAGAACCATCATCGTGTATATCTTAGTGAATACTGTTTTGTATGCTTTAACGTCTCACTTGAGGTGTCCGTCGGAACGTATATGTGTAATTAGATCTCCCTTTAGTGAGATTTCGGAACCGGATCGAAGCGAAGGATTGCCGTAAGAAAGCACGTATTACAGCGTTCCGGTCGTCGTGCGATTTTTTTTCTATCGATTTTAACGATTGTTTTACCGACTTTGGTCGCGGCGGATCGACGCTCGTTGTTAATGGCGTGCTGAGTGTACTCTGCGTTTGCGACGAATGCGACAACGCGAAAGCGACGATAACGTGTCCGCAGGACGTTTTCGTTGCGTATCAGTGCAATCGTTCGGGATTTCAGCGTGTTGTCCGTCGTTTGTATCGAGAGATCCCGTCTCTGCGTGGAACTGCGTAGAATACCGCCTGCAGTTGCGGCTGTTAATGCGCGACGAAGGGAATGGAAAGAGATGGAAACCAATTTTATTCCATTGTATTTGTATATCGTATGCGAAAATCTAATATGTAAACGCCGAGAGATGTTTCAGAACTGATTTTGCGTGTGTTTCAATCAATTAAGCGGGGACAGGTTGAAGAACCGCGGACCTCTCTCGACATTCTCTCTCTTTCTCTCTCTGTCACGACGAATAAAGAATTACGTACGTTTAACGAAATGCAAAGAGCGAACTACTTACCATCCCTTCGTCCTTTTCCCACGACTCCGCCCGAAGCGTCGTTCGGAGAAGATCAAACGTTATTCCGCCGGCCACGTTCTCTCGTAACTCCGTCAGTTGCAATGTTGTCCTGATCTTCAAATTTTCTTCGAATCTAGGTGGATCCGACGTTTCTACGTGTTCTCTTTTCTCCTCAAGTAATCATACGCGTGCGCAAGGCTGTTCACCTCGTCTCAACATTTAGGTCTCTGCGTAGCCGTTGCTCGACGATTGTTTCTTGCTGAGATGGCTTAGCTTGAATGCCTCGACCGGACATGATACATGCGCGGGTAAAAAATGTTTGCTTGAATTTACCCGACAATGAACCAACCAAGCGCGCTTCGGTCGAGGGAAACAGAATACCCTGGTTCTTGCCAAGTTCGGTCCTTACAATCAGAAGTCCTTCGGCCGAAATGCGTTTGGTTTGTTCATTGTCCAGCGAGTTCAAATAAATTTACCGAAGGTTAAAGACGAAGGAAAGAGTGAGACGAGCGCTTACACATACTCTTTCTCTCTCTCTCTCTCTCTCTCTCTCTCTCTCTCTCTCTCTCTCCTTCTCTCCCTCCCCCCGTCTTTCTGCCGGCGTACCTTCGCCCTTCCCCCGCAGAGAATATCGTGATTCAGAGATGCAACATTTTATTTATTTATGCCGCTGATAGTTCTATCACACAATATTATATAGTAAATTATAGTCTCTCTCTCTTCGTTTTCTCTTCTTTTTTGATATATCTTGACGCCATGCAATGCCATTGTAATGTATAATTTCTTTAATGCTATCATAGTGTTAAGGAGAGGGACACGTAATTATAGAGTACAGAGGGAAATGCTCTTGGCTGCTTTCACGTGTCACGTTGCCCGCGAAAATCAGGTTGTACAAAAGTATGTGAGAGATATATAAAGCGTCGACCGGACTTGATTGGCACGTCAATGCCCCGACGACGACGATGAGCAACGGCGGCGGCGACTGTGTCGATATAATGCTATACACGCAAAAATACACCCGGACAGCACGAATGTCCGAGATGTCTCGGAGACATCTAAAGGACGTCTGAAACGAGCAGAATGTCTTTCAGACACCCTTAAGGCCGGTATTTATAGTTCATAGTTGGATCTCATAGTTAGACTGGCTTAAGTTCATCTTCAGGTGTTCGTAGCCAATTGAAGTAAGCCATACAGCATCTGAAGATGAACTTTAAGGCGGCCTTAAGTATAAGATCTCACTATGAATAACGGCCTGAGATGTTCTTTACACATTTTTTTTTTGAGAATCTCACACGTTAAGTCAGAGTCAATATATATAAAATATATATAAAATATATATACAATTTATATATTATTTATATATATTTATACCGACAGCGTAAAACAATATCAAGCATACTGCAAGTTGCACGTAGAACGTATACGCATATGTCGTTCGTATGCGTAACAGTTATGTTACATTTCCCGGTGTAATGTAATAATGTACAAGATGCATACCGCGCGGGAAATATTCCTTTCTTCGTTCGAGCGCGATCGAGAGAGCACGAGAGGTGCACGCGGACATCGTCGACGACAGCATTGAGGTGCCAGCGCGTCGCGGCGGTCATTTCGTAATAATGAACTATATTACTAAATGTTACGACAATACATGGGAGCATATTATTTTATTTTGATGCGCGTGTGATTGTGCCTTTGGTCCTTAGGTCAGATAGGCTCTAGGCAAGTCTATTAAACGTATTATAACAGTCATCATAGATATAATAATAATTTATAAACTTCAGATGCATAATCATATATCTTTCAATGTATCATACATTAATATAGAATACTTTATTTAAATTTTTTTTCTTGTGTGTGTGTGTGTGTGTGTCTTCATATAACGTATACATATACATATATATTGGACATACAATGTGTGTGTATATATGTATTATATATATTCCAATACGACACATACATATATATATGTATATGTATATTATACGATCCCCCCCCTCCCCTCCCACTTTTTTTGTGCTCATTAAAATTGTGTCATACACTGAAAGCTAACACCGCTTAGGATATATTGAAAACGAATCGTTAAAATTTCGAACAACATAATCTCCGCATCGTCCGCGCGCGGTCCCGCTTTTATTTCATTATTATAGCTCTGCCGCGTTTTCTCTACTCTACTTCACGTCGATTCACGTGGATGACACAACACCGATGAAACCCACCCCCGATCTTATACAAATTAACGAGCGTAACGAGTTCCTTCCTTCTTTCTTGCCTTTTTTTTTTGTTCAGGGGGCTCGCTATATAAATAAAATATTCCTGTTAGAATCTTATAATTATTACAATCGTATCCATAGTACATTTATATAAGTTATACGCTAAGAACTTATTATATATACAATTAAAAACTGTTAGGAAATATCCCTTTTTTAAACAAGTTAAATTTACATTATATCCCGATGCATAAAAACATTTATATCGCTCGCTGCTAATCGAATCAACGGTAAGCGGCCGCTCGTTTTTCGCATTTTTCCCGTCCTCCACCCCCCTTTTTTTGTTCTTTTTTTTTTGTTTATTGCGCCGGGACTCGCGACTGAGTCGAGTAACAGCGAGAAACTTTCCCCATTCCCTCTCAGAAACTTCGTCAATTGTTCATCGTCGAAAGTGTGTTAATGAAATATATATATTTATATATATATATATTTTTTTTTTCATATATATATATTGCCGACCTATTAAGCGATGTATTGCGCGGATAGAGATATACAACCATCCTAAAGCTTAAACGGACTATTCTCGCGAGAATCTTGCTAGCCTAAAACGATCGCGGTGATATCGGCAGATCGTTCGCCCGAGACGATCCTTATCCTGCTGCTGCCGCACTCCCTCCTTGTTCGCGCGTTTCCTTCTTCCTTCTCCGCACCATTCTCGTCCTTACTCTTTCCATACTCTCACCACCACCTCGTCTCGGCTCACCACGTTCGCCTGTCTTTCCTTTTCCTCTCCTCCTCCTCCCCCTCCCCCTTCTACCTCTCCTCCAATTCGCAATCGGCTTCGAACAACACGAGAAAGGCGTTGTACATGGACGGGTTGGCATAGTGAAGACTAGCGCGGATCGGCTAGTCGGACTAGCAACGACAATACACAACATCATTATCATCATATCATCGCCATCATAATCATCATCGTCATAATCATCATCGTCGTCGTCGATTGATCGCGCGAGATTGAAGAACGCAAAGAGTGTAAGGCAACTGAGCGGAACGGAAAGGCAAGCAAATCCGAAGCATAGGCCATGAGAGAGCGTGGTAGTTTGAAAAATCATCGTGCATGCTTGGCGTGAAGCGCCCCGGAGACGACGGGGACGTCGCATGGGTCCCCTCGGCGTCTCCGCGGCTCTCTCTAAAGGTGTGTGGAAATCGAGAACTCGTCGTCGTCGTTCGACACCCGAGGACGCGTCGAACCCTCGCGAGGATCGGTGGCTCCCGAAGAAGGTCGACTCTCTTCGACCATTCGGCTTCGATTCCTCCTCCTCCTTCCTTCGTCTCCTTCTCTCTGTCTCTCTCTTTCCCTCATCCCGTATCTCTTCCGTCTCGCGACTCCGCCCTGAAGAAGCATCCAGTCGCCAGGCCCTCTTAGTGGTCCTTCCTCTCCTCCGTCATGAACGTGTCCATGATCTTCTGCATTGATTCTCGCAGCTCGTCCGTACCGCCGGTTCCCGCGGACGTTATCGTTCTCGTCTCCGTTCGCGTGGTCGTCGTTATACTGCAAAAGACACGGTAATCCCCTGAGATCACGCCAGTCTCGTCCTCTCCCGTCGTTTGTTTAATTGCTCCTCGCCTACGTCGTACCGCCGCCCTGGAGTCTTCAGGCACGTAAAAGCTCTCTGAGAAACGTAAACTTCACCCGGCTACTTTATTTCGGGGCCCGAGGTCGAGGTGCGATCGACAGTTGTTGGTTGTGCGGTTTTCAACTAAATTCACCCGACGACGATCGTGTAATGTTGCACGTCGGGACAGAAAAGTGCGGAAGAAACTCTAACACTACGTTTTGATATACTTGCCTTCAGTACGTTATATGAACAAATATATCGGACCGGTCGAAAAGTTCGGTTCGAGTTTCGGCAGATGTTGCATCACACACGTGTGATGCAGGCAACAATGTTGATATAGTGTTCTGTTTATATAAAATAGTTCATTACATAATTATATGTAATATTATATATATATATATATATAGTATGTATAATATTGTATGATATATACAGTACAATACACGCAATATATATTACATTATATAATTAAATTGTAAATTACACAGTATAATTATATAAAAAATTACACGCGCGGTAAAGTGACATTTTACTCAAAGTATCGAACAGAACCCTCCGACCGGCTCAATACACATTAGATTCGTATATATACCTTTCCTGCGTGACAGGATCCACCTCGATCGTTGTCGTTTCCATGAAGGATGGCTCGCTATGTTGCAAAAAGTCAGATTCTGTACAACAAACAAAAACAAATCAAACAGCTGCCCCGGAGGCCTCCGCGTCGCGGCGGATTTCGCTATCTTTGCTGCTGCTTTACATAGAGAACAAGGACGAATCGTATATATATATCTCTCAATTTTACATCATGCCCAAAACAAGGGGGGTAATACTAGACACATATAAAAAAAGTCACAACATCGCTCTAAACATTTGACGATACATAATATATATATATATATATATATATATAATATATATAATACGCATTTTCACTCAACCAGCCAAACTATATGCAACCACTTTCCTTACAAATTCGCACGGCATCTCCCTTTTTATCCGTTTTTCCGTTCATTTCTTCCTTCTTCTCCTCTCTGTTTTTTCTTTTCCTTTCATTTTCTTTCTTAACTTTCGCGCGGATGTGTGGATCGCAGGAGATATATGCCTCGCGTGACTTCGACGTGTTCCTTGTGATAACAACCCTTTACTGCGGTCTACGATACTCATTTTCTCATATACTGTGATGCTAATTACTTTGATACGAGTGCTACAGCAAGCTGTAAATCATCAAACTTGGCCGAATTCCTATGTCTTCAATCACATGTCGCGTGGCAACAAACGACCAATTGGGTTCTATACCGGTTATCCGAGGAAGAATCGTGATACAACCCGGACTTTACGCCAGAGTTGTTCGACGATTTGTCCCGGACACCCCGTGTATTCCCAACAGACGAGAAGATAACGAGTAAACGCAAAAGGTAATATCACGTCAATATTAATAATTTCCCACTCAACAATATAACTGTTACATATAATACATGTTATATTATATATGCATTGTTAAATGTGGGAAATTACATAACATTTGTGTGACGTTGCTGTTGACTGGTGTTTACCGGAAAGCTGTGCGTACTGCTTTTGAGCCCTGAATAGCGAAAGGGAATTTGATGTCTTTCTAGTCTGTAAGAATGAAACGATCTGAAAAATTCGACTTTCCCGAATTCTGCTCGAACAATCTCGCGATATCTCACTATTTTTAGCTCACACACAGCACTCTTCGGTCTTCCATTGAGACGATTAACAGATACAAATACAGATAATTATCTCGTCGTCTGGACAATCGCTTCAGCGATCGAAGCTACGTTTCATAGGAATACAGCACAGCGGTTGTAACAGCGCTCTCGGGACGAACGCTCGTATTTTCCTGCGGTTAATCAATTTACGATCATGTTATAACTGAGCAGTATCGCAGTACGTACTCCTCAGTATGATTGTGCTGCGCACAGCGAGCTCGTGTGAAGCGCTGATGAAGGAAAAAGCCGCTGAACAAAGCGTTTTAGCAGTTAGTCGTAAGAGATATATATAAGTACTCAACGTTCTCGATACAACAGAAGTATAATACTACGATAAAAACTCAAAGTGGTGTCCCCTCGATAGCTCGGATTGAATAGCAGATTTGAACACGTTTTTAGAGAATATGTATGTGTGTGTGTGTGTGTGTCTGTGAATGTGTATATGTGTGAGAGAATTTGGAAAAGGTGCATCACCGGCCGAATTGTTCGAGGTGAGGACTCCTTCCCGATGGTGGGAACGAATGTTCAAATTAAGTTAAGATGCGATCGGAAAAACTGGAATATCCTTCATCCCGCAGAATGCACTCTGATGAACCACACGATGAGCGAGTAATCAAATGAAGAAATGTAAATACATATTTATAAATACGTAAATATCGTTAAATACGTTTGTACACGGTGAAAAGATCTGGATGCGTTCCGGTTGAGGGGAACAGAATTTCTGGTCCTTACGAACGAAAAATGCGGCTCTTATAATCCCGAAATTCTGTCCCCTCCAACTAAAATGACAATCTGCTTGTTGCCTCTTTCTTAACGAAACCGAACTTTTTTTCCCGTGTATATACATATTTTCATATATTTTGATATAAATATATTTATATGTGTATATTTATATATCTCTCTCTAAAAGGGTGAAAAGTATCTCCCGAAGCAAGCTGGCGAGATAGGAGGGGGTTCGGCGAATTGGCCACTCGGAACGGAACTCCCGCGAGGACACGAATCCCTTCTTCTTACGACCCTCCACATCGCGATTCCCGACCCAATCGTCCTCCTGATGTTTTCACCGTAGTTCCGCGAACGGACGCTCCGTTGAGACTTCACGACCACCTTTGCACGGGGTCTGTACTAACTGCATCCAGTTAGTATTGTTAGACGAACGGTCAGACAGTGCTGGGAGGAATTTAATCGCGAGGAGCTCGTGGTGTGACGCGCGGGAGAAGAAAGAATGTTGATGCAGGTCTTTCCGCAGGGAAGGAATCGCTCGGGACGAGCATATCGAAGACGCGTTCGAGGATCTGCCGACGCAGCTGCACTCGACTCTCTCTTGGACGCGAGAAGAACGAGCGAAGCGGAAATATTGTAGTGAAGATTATCACAAAATTTCGTAATGCTGAGGCATACCGGAATTATAACTGAAATTACATATGCGTTGTAATCTTTTCAGTGACATACACAATGAAATGCATCACCAGAGAGATTACAACACACATCGTAGGTTCAGTCATGATCCCGATATGCCCGTCTTGCGGGATCGGAGAAAAGGAAGATTCGAGAGAGGGATTCGTTAAGAAGCTGCAAGTACGATCGGTGCAACACAACTCGCTCTTTGTCGCGGAAGAGAGTAACGGAGAATTATCTGGTGCCGTTCGGGAGAAGTAGTCGTAATACTCATCCACACAGATATCGACCAGATCCGGAGCCGTTCTCCTAAGACTTTTGTGTGTGTGTGTATGTGTATGTGTGCTTACACGTTTATGATACGTACATATACATACATGTGTAAAGATTACTTACATGACGATTCGCCTAACAATCCTAACACGTGACTAAAAAAACACGACTGTTGGTCCCTCTACATTTTAGCTTTATCTTGAGTTATTGTCAGAAGAGAGAGACAGAGAGATAGAGACAGATAAGTAGATAGATAGATAGATAGATAGATAGAGAGAGAGAGAGAGCTAGAGAGGGTAAAGGTGAGTTATTAGAATGTTCAAGAAACTAAAAGGAAGAAATAGAAAAGAAGAGGGAAAGAAGGGGGAGGTGAAAGAGAGAGAGAGAGAGAGAGAGAGAAGAGAGATGGGGAGAAAGAAGAATAAGAAGAAGAAGAGTATCGGAAGAGAAGAAAAAAAGACGAGAGGAGGGAGACTAGGAGCTCGTTTTTCGATACGATGCGAAGGGTGTTTTCGTGCAACTAGGCGTCAGACACGTCTTTCTCAAATAAGATCGTCGCAAGGAGGATCACCGTGTCCTCCCTGCGCTGAGAACAGCTGCGAAAAACGCAAACTTAAGTTTGGTAAGATGCAGAGATGCGGTGTCATGCGGGGGTGTCAATGTAAAAAAAAAAAAAAAACTCATGCAGCGCATACAAACTGGACGAGCTTCAGAAAAAAGAAAGCTTGCGGAGCGAGTTCCCCTCGCTCGCGTTCTCGAAGTTATTACCTGTTCTCATGGCGGTAAGTTACTTTCATGCGTGTCACGCACGCATGACGTATTTTCGGTATCAAGAGTAATCCTTCGTGTTTGTGTGTGTGTGTGTGTGTGTGTGTGTGTGTGTGCGCGCGCGCGCGCGTGTGTGTGTGCATGTTAGTAGAAAGATCGCAGCATTTTTTACTTTGGTGAACCCTAGAACATATTCGACATCCAATTAGAAAATTGATCTTCTGATAATTATCAAGAAGAAATGAAGGAACAAATTTTCCCATTAGATTAGACGAATGTGTTGAGAAACTCATTAAAGAGAAAAAAGATGTTGCGATCTTATTTCCACTGACTATATATATATATATATATATATA